TATTTTATGTCTGTCACTTTATCTGCACCTACCACTACTTCTGGTATGCTGTTCCAGGAGTTGGTGATTCAGACAGAAAAAGGTAACGTCGTTTGTCATGGATTAAATGATCTCGCTGTGTCATGCCGTGATGGCACCTGTTGGGTATTTAAAAAAAAGTTAATTTGTTCTGAATGGTTTGCGCGTGTGGCATTTTGCACTGGGTACGTGGTAACCATAATCCACCACCCAAAAATCGAATTCCGGAAGCTGAGACAGAAGATAGGATGGGGGTAGAGTGGATGGCTCAAGGGATCTCCAAAAAGAAAGAGAATTCCGCCCTTGTGCGTACCATGAAATATCCCAAATTCGCCTCAGGAACTGTACAAGTACTTGTGGTACCCCCGCAGTAAGCTCATGAGGCTCTCAGTGTGCGCTCCCGTGGCAGGAGGGAATGTGTGGTCATGTCGTGAGGGAACTGATGTGTTCAAGCGCATCGCATGGTCGGAAAAAGTGCGAGGAAGCGGTTTTTCTATTGTTTATTTTGTTTAGGGGCATTGGATGGTAATACTCATGTGGATATTTCTTAATACAATTTATCCCTTCTGAATAAGTCAGCACATAATATGGAACATTTTAGTTGGTAGCAACTGTAGGGCATTAGTTGTATAGGTTACTTTTGTTGCCGTAAGACCCCCCCCCCCCCTGGTCCCCACAGACCACACAGCGACAGTGCTTAAGGGCAGTTTCCCTTCGAGTCTTTACCGTTTTGGGCTCCTTTGGAGCCTCTGGGACATACTTCAAAAACATACTCTAATGACACCTTATACATCTAATGACAGTACTGGGAAGTACCAGTGCAGCACCGTCAAGACAATAAGAGTATCAATTTTGATTATTTTTTTGCCCAAATTACGGTGTTAACGCTTTGCAATAGCACTGCGCCTCTTCCCCGTGGCTGCGACCACCGTCGTCATGGCAACCGCCTTGTGCACCTATACTGGTGCGTGTAAAAGACCGTTTGTGATTGGCCTAGCGGGCGGTAAGGACCTGTTACCGAGAAGCGCGCTGGTTGTAGTCTGAACCAGTGCACCACCATGGACCATGTGATCAGCGTGTTGGTCGATTCATTCTCTCTACCGCCCTTATGGTGATCTTATTTTGACGTATGTCACTCGCAAATGAACCTAGATTAATGGGTTGCATGGCGGCTTTTTACGCCGCGACGGAACGACGCCGTCCGGTGTCTCGGCGGACGCCGGACATTGCTTCAGGGTTTAACGGCTGTCTAATCACGTGGCTGGCTGCCGTAATGAATTGCCTCCGACCGATTATGCCATCTCGCACCAACATCTCGACAACGGTGGGTCGCAGCAACACGGGAATGGTGGTGTACCATGCGAAATGGTACGGTCACACGTATCACGTTGCACGAACTGACAGATGGATTTTGCTTTCTTCACCGGGTTTGCACGTTTTGTGTCACATCTCGGCACCCATAGCACGAACACACTCGGGATTAGCGTGTTTCGGTGATGAATGGAAAGAGCGAGATGATAACGTGTGGTGACACGTGCCACATGTGATGGCGCCCACTTGTTGACCTATGGATTTACACGTTTTTACTCTCTTGAGGGGCTTAAACGTTCTTATGATATCTCAGAAACCAGGGAACCAAGTGCGTGGAGACTGGCATGCTCCGATAGGCGATCTAACAGGCAATCACTCAAACGTGTACGATGTGATGCTGCACGTGTCATGTGACACGTACACATTAGCTGTGAAAATGTATTTCGCCCATTGCGTCCATTTTCACGCTTTACGCGGGATTTCCGCTCTTGAGGCACGTAGTAACACGAGACCAGCATGCTGCGATAGGCCATTGAACGGGAAATCCCATGGTGTCACAAGCGCGAGGTGGGACGTTACGCGTGTCGGGCATACACGAGCCAGCAAGATGGGTTTTGTTCTCTTCCACATGTTTACACGCTTTCTGCTATATCCCGGCACGCAGGGCACGGAGCCGCTGGGGAGTGGCATGCATCGATGGAGAATCGAACACAGGTTGCCTGAATTGTCAAGTCGCACGTGCTGCGTGCAGCGCGTGTACGAGGCAGCAGGATAGATTTGGCCGTCGTCGGCCGTTTTTCACATTTTGCGTCATATCTCGACAACCAGGGCACCTGGAACCGTGGTTTGGACTGCAAAAGATAGCTAATTCAAAATTCTACGTTTCTCATTAAGCGGAGCGCAGCAAGTGCGCGAACACTTGCCGCACCCAGAGCACGGGGTGTACACGGGAGAAGCATGTATGGATGGGGAATCGAACGCACAATCACGTGGTATAGATTGTAACGTCACGTGTGCGCGAGCAGGGGAATTGATTGGGTAGCACCGATCGTTTTTTACGCTTCGATACAATACAGTGCCGGTTAATGGAATGACATTGCGTGCTGCCATCATTCAAAGGCGGACAGTTGATGGAAGGGGCAAAAGTCACTGGCCACGTCCCACGACCAATCACTGGTCCCATAGCATAGGTTTGGATGTGTTGAAGAGCGCGTAGGCGAAACGCGCTCTCCCGCCGGCGGCTGTCAGGGGCCGCCAGCACCATGCGGCCCGCGGCCGAGTCTCTCACGTTTTGCGCCATATCTCGGCAACCAGGGCACCTAGAACCGTGATTTAAACTGCTAAAGATATATAACTAAATTTTCTGTGTTCTAACACTTAGCGCAGCGAAGCGAGCGGGCAAACGCTTGTTTGTATAATGAATACGACAAATAAATCATTGGCAAGTCTATGGATCTTCTAGTGCATATCATTGCATGCCTTTATCCGTGTTATCAATAAAATGCGTCAGCAGCGTGCTAGAACTGAACAAATACCAAGTTCTTCTTGTGTTGGTATTTTTCTTATATTGTCTTAAAAAGAAATTATAAATGCTCTTGAGTGGCAAGGAAATGAGAAGGGTTAGCCGCACCCTGTTTCGAGGCGCAATTTAACTTTGGGAATGGGAGTATTGCTTGGTCTACAGAGACGGACTGGTTCAAACTGCAACCAATGCGCTTCTCGGTAACAAGCCCTTGCTGTCCGCTATGCCAATCACAAACGTCCATTTGTACTGACGTCTTTCAAGCCGACGGTGGTTGTGATGGTGGCGGCGGGTGCGATAACTGCAGCTGCCCTGGGAAAAGAGTGGTGCTGTTATGAGGCGTCGACAGCATGATTTTGACCCGCAAATAAGTGCTGCTTATTTATTGATTTATATCGAAATGGTCCTTCAGTGGCACTACCCAGCGCTATTATTAAACATAACTGGTCCCAAGTTTTCACTATGGTATGTTTTTGAATCATGCCCCAAAGGTGAGGCCCTCCGTTAAACGACTTCCAATTTACGAGGAGGTGCTGGTTGAAAGACGCGGATTGTTAGATAGATTTCGTATTGACAGTGAGCTGGTGTCTGATTCTGACTCATCCGCGAAATGAATTGATTTTTTTATTCCCGAAATGTCGTGCAAAAAATGGTCTCAAAAGGCCATACATCTCCACTTGAGCCGAGTCCGCTGGGCGCAGAGCCATGCCCAAGCTGATAGAAATACTGGTCATGTTTGGTACCGAGAACCACTCAACAGCTTATGGTTATCTTGCACCAATAATTGTCCGAACTATTCGCAAACCTCACTCAGTCGCTGGCACTGTCATGCAACTTGCCACCAATGCACTCCGCCATTGCTGCCTTTTGATCATTTTCCTAATGCTTTCGTCATTTTGCGGTCTGTTTTAATTGTTTAATCTTATTTGCTCACTTCCGTTGATTCTACGATCAAGCTTGCTTACCATTTGACCTTGCTGCATTTTCGACGCATCCTCTTGCTGCTTGCTGAAGCACAGCCTGTTGTGCTGGATGCGTGTTACTTGGTGGATTTTTAATGGTGCGAGTAGCAACAATTGAAATGTTTTGTAAATGCCAACACATCAGACGAGGGTGATAGACCTAAGAACCACTCCATCCGTCAGTAATACTTCCACACGTTTTCTCAGTGAAGCACGCTGTTGTTCAATGCTGACAAAGTTGTTATTCCGGTGAAAGATAATTAAATTCATGAAAGCACGTCATGTGCCGGCCTAATATGAAATTAAGTGTCCGAGATTTGGCAGTCTAAATCTGATTTTTTGTAGATAGTTCCGTGTTTCCGCGACCTTGGGCGTGAATGCGTGGCGCTGCGGTCCTCTGATGTGCTGCTGTTCACTCCGGGATGACGGGCGGTAATTTCTATGGTTGTAACAGGCGGATCGTCATAATACATGTCGATGTCTTTCTCTATGGTTGTGTACCCGAACTTGTGATAAGTTGTTCATGACGTGACCAGCGTATCCATAGAGATCACAGAGATGTACTGATTTTCACAGGGCTTTTGGTATGTGGTGGGCAGTGTGCCTCTGCTGTCAGAGGTGCTGATGCTGGTGTTGGACAGGCTGCACCAGTGTTCTCTGCTCTTCATCCTGCTACTGGACATAATAATAATAGCAGCTGCATTCGCTTGCGCTGCTATTTTAGGTAAGAGCTATTTCACATTCCATTCTGTGCCTGAGATGCAACTTCCACCTAAAAGGCGACTTCTTGCGAATGTCTTATTCGCGCGGCATGCCGCAGGAACGTCCTTAAATTGGGAGATGCTGTAAATGCCTTGAATACTGTCATGTGATGGGCCATTGTGTATACTGTCTCTCGTGGGTTATGGACTTCAGACACTACGTGCCTCAGATGAGCACAAGTTTGAAGTTCGAGTTATGAGTGTAGTGGTGTGTGGTCCTGTGAGATGCTTGTCACCAGCTGACCGGAGCTGGTCCACCAGTGCCGCACGAGGTGGACATGGTGGTGGAAACGCGCCACTGCGTCGACTTCACCTCTGCAGAGGGGGGCGAGGCCTGGTTCCAGGTCAGTGGCTCCACGGCAGCGCCCCCTTGGCGTAAGCCGCCCTAGAACAGAACCCCCTTCCTGAAGACAAATACTTGCATCCGCTTACCGTACCCACTGCCCCGAAGTGACAGCAGGCAAGTGAATCAAAGCTTAGAAGAAACTGGTCCATCTAATGAAATTAGTTGTCATATCTTACATCTTAGTGATACGCACAAGCCTCGCACCGCTGCCGTCTACATGTCGGTAGGGTACCATCGCCTCTCTTATTGAATTGACGTGGGTGGATGGCTGCCGTGCTCGACTGTTGACCGGTGGTGGGCCGCGAGCGTGATGGCCCGCATCACTCCCCGCAGTCGTGGATGGTCGACCAGAGTGACGTTGTCTGCACTCGCGTGGAACCGAACGCCGAAGAAGCAGCCAACCGCGTCTTCTTCAGGAACGTGTTCATTAGCGGCAAACTGCACGAGTCGTTCCAGGTAGGCTCATTAGCTGCTGTGTGTCGCGCATGCGGGAGCCGTGCACGCGTTCGGCAGCGCTGTGTGACTTCATCCCACACAGTTGGTTCCAGCCTGACGCGCTGCTGTGTGTGAGCGGAACAAGAGTAGCCATTACATTGATGATGCCAACTACTTATGCAGGCATCTTCAGTTTATGCCATGTTTGCCAGTGATCGCGGGTTGTGCTGCAGCCCTTGTCACACCCTGGCGGTAGTTCGCTGCAGTTGTCCGTGTGGCTCGTGACTGATGGTTTATTGTAATTGGTTCTGACACGTACGTTGACTGGCGTTGGTTTTGAGTTAGTCCGTATCACTTGCGCTCATTGTCTTCGGTGAGACGTCCCCGGGTCCACAACAATGAGACTGCATTTGCGCAAAAACGTTGGCTTGAAAGTTACGCCTTCAGCTGCGAACCGTTTTGCTGAATTGCAGGATGTGTGTAAGCGTGCATAAAACGGGGGAGTCGTCCTCCAGGCTGCGCTTGCTCGCTGGACGCGTCCGCGACTCCAAAAGTCAGCTTACTTGCCACCCGTGGGCTCCTAATACTCGAAAAATCACAGGTCGGGGCTGACAATTTTGGCATTCATCGCTTGCTTAAGCGTCGTCGGATGAGCGGCGCCTCGCGCTGACCGCCCTCCCCGCCCTCAACAGATGCCGGTGCGTCGGAACCGCACCCTCGTCCGCTTCAACCGCGGTCGGCGCTACCTCAAGGGCTACATCACCATCACCCTGGACATGCCGGCTGACGCTAGTAAGCGAGCGACTGCCGGCCGTCGACGGCGGCCCGGTCGGCGGCGCGCGGTGTGCGCGTGCCGCGGACGGCCTCCTGATGGCCTCCTCTTCCCCGCAGCGCAGCACGCCGCTGTGGTCTGCGGATCGCTGCCGCTGCCTCGGCGATTGAACCCACGCGGATGCCGTCGGAGAGCCGTGGTCACATCTGGGACAAGGCCGTTGAGTCGAATCATTTAATTCCAGCCTCGGTGACAACATCTTGGACAAGGCCGTCGAGTCGAATCATCTAATTCCGGCGATGATTGGTGCCGCCTGCCGCTTGCCCGCGCTGTTGTCTGTGGCATCAGCTGCCATGACTTCGTGCCTGCGTCCGCGTCTGCCGTCGGTGTGGCCCACGAGCCGCCCCTCTGACCCCCGGTGTCTCGCGCCAGAGCGACAGGAGGGAGCCGTGATCAACATGCGGCTGGGCGGTCGGGACGGCGGAGAGAACACCGTCTGGGAGGAGCTGGGCCGCGCTGAGCAGCCGCTCAACGTGCACACTTGCGAGTCACGCCCCGGCCAGGTCAGTCGGGTCACGCCCCGGCCAGGTCAGCCGGGTCACACCCCGGCCAGGTCAGCCGGGTCGCGCCCCGGCCAGGTCAGTCGGGTCACACCCCAGCCAGGTCAGTCGGGTCACGCCACGGCCAGGTCAGTCGGGTCACGCCCCGGCCAGTTCAGTCGGGTCACGCCCCGGCCAGGTCAGCTGGGTCACGCCCCGGCCAGGTCAGCTGGGTCACGCCCCGGCCAGGTCAGTCGGGTCACACCCCAGCCAGGTCAGTCGGGTCACGCCCCGGCCAGGTCAGCTGGGTCACGCCCCGGCCAGGTCAGCCGGGTCGCGCCCCGGCCAGGTCAGTCGGGTCACACCCCAGCCAGGTCAGTCGGGTCACGCCCCGGCCAGGTCAGCTGGGTCACGCCCCGGCCAGTTCAGTCGGGTCACGCCACGGCCAGATAGGCCGGGTCATGCCTCGATCAGGTCAGTCGGGTCACACACCGTGGGTGTCTCCAGCCACGCGCCACCGAAGTGTATGGAAGCCTACCGACGTGTCATATCCCAACAATCAGTCTTCTGCAATACGAGATGCATTAAAGTGGACAATGCAACGCCTGGTGCGTGCGATGGGCAAAACATTGGCGCAGACCTTGGCGGCAGTCGGTACCCCAAAAGACCCAGGCGTCTTCACGATGTATGGACTCTATGTCTCGCCTTGGTTGTCGCCCTCCAGCAGGCGCGCGCGCTTTCGTGAGCTGCGGGCATCCTTGCGGCGGCCGGTGCGTTGTGTTCCGCGCCGTGCCCACGCGTGCAGCTGACCTCCTCCCCTCGCCTCACCCCCCAGCCGCCGGACAACACAACCGCCTCGCCGCCGGACAACAGCACGGCCCCGGCCACGGAGCGGTGCGTGGTGAACCAGCGGCTGTTCCAGACGCCCTCGCTGGACCGCCAGTTCTACCTGCTGAACACGCGCGTGCAGCACATGACGCAGCCGCCGCTCTCCATGGCGCTGGTGGTGAGTGGCGCCCGGGCTGGGGGGCCGGCCGGCCGCTGAGCCGGCCCCCCTCTGCCTCGCTCCCTTCCAGGGCCGCTCCGGGATGACAGGCGGTGGTCTTCGGTGGCTGGGACCCCCTCTCTGCCTCGCTTCCTCCCAGGGCCGCTCCGGGATGACAGGCGGTGGTCTTCGGTGGCTGGGAGCTGTCTTGTGCTGCAGCTTATGTTGGTATTAATGTCATCGTTGTGCGTCGAGGACAGCCGAACATCCAGGGCGTTGTGTTGCAACGTAGCTTTGGTACACTAGGCTTCGTTGAATCATAAAGCTGACATTGCTTGCCAGTAAATCCTGGCATGTCAGACGGACGCAGCTGCCGAGCATTGACCACGCTGACTCTGTATCAGTAAGTGGTTACTTTTTATGCGCGTCAATTGTTGCTGAATGCAGTTAGTCTGAGGGCCGCCGGTATGTCGTGTGTGATTCGATTCCATACAGCATATTACTGGCGGTGTCTCTGGTGGCGGTTCCATCAAAGCCCTTTACGCACTGTCCAAGCAAATTTCGGAGTCCACCTCGGCACCTTTTCAAAAGTGTTGCAAAACGTTACACCGTGATGAAGCGTGATGTGTTACGACACGTTTCAACGCAGATAGGAGGTAGCATTTATGTAGCTTTATAATTTCGTGTGAAACCGTCGAAGTTTGCTCTAGACTTCTTCACGATAGCATGTATGTCTCGTCACGTGATTTGGACAGCATTAACAGAAGACAGCGGGGAAGTGTTGTCACACCTATGCGATGCACACCTATGCGTCCAACTGCACCTATGCGGTGCACACCTCTGCGTCCAACTGCACCTGTGCGGTGCAGTTGGACGACGGGTATTCTGATGGCGTCTTTTCGTCGTCCGTTGTCGACCCCATCTTGCGTAGTTTTCCGGGCCGTGGGGGTGGCCTCTAAGGCGCCCCTCGTAAGGCAAGACACTTAGCGCAAAAAATTTTCTGTTTACCTCGTAGGTAAAAAGCACTAGAGTGGGGCGAGGGTTGCCAATATATTTGTACTGTCTGGCAGGTGGGTGCTTCAAGCTGGTGGCGACGTGCCACCAGAAAGGATTTGGGTTCAAACATTATTGAGGTCTCGGGCCTCCTTGATCATGCTGGGCGGCAGCTGCTTGAAGTTGTCAAAATGCTAGATATCTAGCGCCCCCGGGTGAAGCGTTGTGTACGCTGGGATGACCCCGGCAGCGTTCTGCATCGGGGGCTACCACGCCTGCTTCTCGCTTCAGGTGACTTTGAAGTGGTGATCTAGTGTTCAGTCACCTTCAATGCTTGTATGGCGTAATTCACTAACTTGTTCACTGCAGCCAAATAAGTCATACCCCATAATCCCTGTGCTTAATTTATCCTTCCAGGGAATGGTATATTACGAAAAGTGGAATATTGTCTTCCTGAAAAGCCTTGCTCAGAACCCCGTCTATGAACTGGCCCAAGCTATTGCAGTTCGTCAGGTGGGATTTATTTAACCAAAGGGCAGAGAGCTAAATGAATCTTAAAGTGGGGGAAGCAGTTTCGATGAGTTGCGCGTTGCAAAAATGTAAGGATTATGACGGTACTGGCAGCGGATTTTTACCTCTTTTCTCTCACGTCCTGTTGCTGGTATTGGCGCACAATGCTGGGTTAGAGGGCACTGTCAGCAAGATGTGATTTTTAATAGGCCATCGCATCAATAAGTTAGTGATGTGTGCTATTCATAGTTGCTAGTTGTTTTTTATTATTATTTGCCTTGTATTTCAAAGGGTCCGAATTCCTAGATGTTTTGTATCATGTATGTAATGTTTGATTGTTTGTTTTCATACTAGTTTTGATTTTGAACAGAAAACCTTGAAATGTACCTGATTTTTACTTGGATAAGACAGTAGCATTAGCCTCATTCCTCGGATAAAAACCAGGAAAATGGAGATATGGTTGGGTTGATATTTCGGCAACATGCCTTTATCGAAACAATAGCAGAAGTCAACACTTCTGCTATTGTTTAGACAAAAGCATGTTTCCGAAATATCATCCCAACTATATCTCCATTCTCCTGGTCTCTATCCGAGGAATGAGGCTAATACTACTGTCTTATCTATGTGAATAAGGTTCCTCGCAAATGCACTCAAGAACTTACGTGATTTTTACTTGGGTACCATTTGGGCATTGAGGTCTTTGAAGGCCACCTTTGGCCCATGCGCCGCCATGGGCACGCCTTACCCAGAACCAGGCACGGCGCCGTACCTGCGGACTGCTGACATGAGATGGCTGGCGACGGCGGCCTGCGGTGCCAGCCTGCTTCGGTCCGGGTGCCGGCGAATGTCCTCACCGTCTCCCTCTTCACAGGTGGTGACCCAGACCCGGCTCTTCACGCTGGTGTGCCTCAACATCCAGGCCTGCTTCATGGGCCTGCTGCTGCTCATGCTGCTGGTGTTCGGCGTGCGCGTGCAGCGCGTCTATCGGACGGTGCCCACCGGTCACAAGCTGCTGGCGGTGCTGGCCGTCGCGCTGCTGATCTGGGACAGTGAGTGTCCCCTGGTCGTCAGAGGTTCGACCTGGCATACCCGTCACCTGCCGACTGGAACAGTGGGGCGGAGACTGGAGCTGTCGTCTCGTGCTCCGGGTCCGCCTGCACACGACCTGGCCACCTTCCCCTTCTCGGATCCCGTCTGTGACGGTTACCGCGCGATCCGCCGAGTTCGAGGCTCCATCTTGGAGCCGACATAGTCGCTAACGCGTGCATCGCTGTTCTTTTTATGGCATTATAAACATACAACCACGGGTCGACATCAGTTGGCAAGATTTCTTGATCAGGAGAAGCCACCCCAGCGTACGGAACGTGCTACCGCGTTGAGACCACGTCCTGAATCGGTTTCGACGGGGTGCGTGTTTTTCGAAGACCTCTTTCACCGTGGAAAAATTAGTGCTGTCGTATCTAGGTAACGGTGGTTTCGTATCGTTTCTTTGTCCTCACAGTACGATCGCAAGCAGCTTTGTTTGCCATCTCCAGATGGCGAATGCCTTCCTGCAAAGCGAACTTATCTTAAGCAACCGGCCTGCCATCGTAGCCGCCTCATCAATCGACATGCCCCCCCCCCCCTTTCCCCCAGTTCCGGTGGGCTACGCGGCGCTCGACTACGACATGCCCTGGCTGGGCCTGCTGGATGACATACGCATGGACGTGTTCTACCTGGTCTTCCTCTCATTCTGCCTCATCTTCGTGTGGGAGCAGGGCTTCATTAAGGTGAGTGCCAGTCGAACCATAGGTGGCATTTGGGTGCGTTTTATAACTATGTAAGCTTTATATTAAAGTTGAACATTAAACTGGAGGCGGGCTAGTGGCCTATTATTACGAGTAGCCCCGCACGTGTGCTGTTTCGATTCTCGGGCGTAAAGCGGCGAGAAAGAGACGTGCTAGACTAAAAGACATCATAGCTGTGGGGAGAAGGGACCCGGCTTGTGATGCGGGACCCCGACTGGTTGTGCTGTCGGTGGCGTCGCGTCTGACGCCCCCCGCCGGCCGTCCTCACGCCGTCCCCCCTCCCCCCTCCCCCCGGCGACCGACAGGGCGCGACGCGCCGGCTGGCCAGCTACTGGCGCTCGCAGCTGCTGCTGCTGTTGGGCTGGCTGCTGCTGCTGGTGCTGGACGTGTACCAGCAGACGCGCCAGATGGGCGACGTGTTCAGCCCCCGGCCCGACTGGCTGCGGTACTGCTTGGCGGCGCTGCTGGTGGCCAACGCGCTGTACGTGGTGCTGGCGTGCGTGGCGGCGGGCGCGAGCTGGCGTCGCGGCTGGAAGAGCGCCGCGCTGCCGTGTCGGTACCGCGCCGCCATGCTGCTGACCTGCCTGACGCTGGCCGCCGCCTGCGTGGAGCACGCCGAGAGACGGGTCAGTCGCCGCACCGCCGCCCGCCGGCGGCCGCCAGAGCGGCTAAGACACTGTCGGCACAGCGACGGCGGCCTTAAGCTGCATTGGCAGTGAGGTGGGCGTTTTAGGGTTCCACAAGTGACTATTTTATGAGTTTTGAATCTGTAAACTTTATAGGGATGGCACGTATAGTTTTGCGATGTCATTTCTTGGTGATGTTTAGGAATGAGTGGGATGTGCATTCATACATTCGCGGGAGATATTATACATATTTTAGATCCATTTCACTAAACTGTGTTCCTCCTTTAATGACAAGTAGTAAAGCCGCTCGTATTGGTGTAACCTGCTGACTGACTGATCGTCCATTGACTCCCCGCGACCGTACCCGGTCGTACACTCCGCTGGCGGAGCTGGCCAGGGCCGCAGCTCTCCCGCTCTTCTCTACCGGCTCGGCATGCGGCCATTGACTCCCCGCGACCGTACCCGGTCGTACACTCGCTGGCGGAGCTGGCCAGGGCCGCAGCTCTCCCGCTCTCCTCTACCGGCTCGGCATGCGGCCGGCAAACGGCTAATTCCGGCTCATTTGTTAGCGACTGAGTGTCCCGCCGGTGGCCAGTCGGCCATTGGGACACCGGCCCGCGCGGCTGCTGCAGGAATGATAACCTAAGCGTGCGGCAGGCGGCCGCCTCTTTTCTACCGAGGGACGAAGGGGATTTGGTGGACCTTACGGCACGCCCAATGAGTAGTTGCCACGTGTCCTGTCGTGTGGCCTTGGGCAGGGCACTGCCTCGACGTTGGGTGATGCAATCGTCTTGAGATGCAGCGCTGTCCCGTGGCTGACCGGTTTCGGTGCATGGGCGGGTGGACGGGGCCCGGGCGCGGGAGTTCGAGGGTTGCCCTGGTCGATCGGCGCCCAGCGGCTGGTGGGCCGGCGCGGGGTTGGAAATAGTCCTAAAGAGATTCAACGGGGCGCGTGAGGTCCGGGGAATAAAGAGATTATAAAAGTGTTGTTACAATGGTGCTCACGCCAGAAACGTTCGGTATGATATGTCTAGTATGTTTACCCGACACATCACGACATGTCGAGTATGTCGAGTACCGCCGTGCGGCAGACCGTTTTACGGCCGCTGTATAACCTTGAAGAAGTTATAGAAAGGATATCGTCAGGTTGTGAACATTTAACTTATTATTTTGCATTTTCAGTGTTTAAGTTTGTTCTTACTGACATACGCATTGAGGTAGTTATATGCCCCACTCCCTCACTGTAATAGACGTTACTGCTGATTTTTGACTGACCTGCTGGGCTACATTGCACACTCCCCGCACATGTCCCGTCCGCCAAGTGTGTCTGCGTGACCATGTGTCGGCGTTTGCGTGCGATGCCGACCCGGCTCACCGGCCGCGGCACGCATCCCCGCAGGAGGCGGACAACTCGTGGTTCTGGAGCTGGACGGAGATTCGACCGACGGGTGGCCACCTGTTCTACATCGGTATGCTGGTCTGGAGCAACATGTACGTGCTGACGCTGCTGATTCTGTACACGCCCACCCGGCCGCTGGTGGAGCTCACCAAGACCGTCTACGAAGACGAGCAGAGTGAGTGCTGCGCTGGCACTGCGGCCGGCTGCCGGCGGATGCCCGACGCGCGCCTGGGCTCTTCTGTTCTGGCGAGCGTGTAACTCTTTGTTAACGCATGCCAGTTGTGGTGACGCGGAGGACAGGGTGTGTGTGGTAGACTGGCGCCCGGCTCCATCTGAGCAGAGTTTAGATATATATATATATATATATATATATATATATATATATATATATATATATATATATCGTTCTCTTACTTTCTCGACGTGTAGACGTGTTCTATGTGGGGGCTCTCCCACAGCTAATGTGCATGTGTCGATTTTTTATCACGGTAAGTGGAAAAACTATTTGTTAAGACTATATACATACTGTCTCCCTTGGTTGATCGTAGGTTGTCAGAGTAACTCGTGTTCTACATTGTGTACCGGTGTGTCATTTGCGCATACGTTCGCAGTCGTATGTCTGACGATATTCCCCAGTGGAATGAAATGTCGCAACCAAGAGAAGACTGACGGTGTACTGAAAGAATTTCGCTAAAAACGAAAACTAGCACAGAGGATCAAACCTGTTACGAAGCGACCATAACTGACGAAAAGCACTCACTTATGCTGCTTATGTCAGGCTGCAACAGGGTTTGCACATATGGAACGGCTGGTGGTTGCTGAAACGTAACAACTAGCCAGTGCGAGCGGCCCACGTGCCGTGACCGCATGGTTACTGTTTCGGGTTGAACATCCCCTCCCCCCCCCCCCCCCCATTCGCTCCATGACTGTCCACTCCGCTGCGCAGAGGTGCCTCTGAACGGCAGCGGCGACGCATGCGCGCTGGAGCCCATCACGCGCCGGGAGGCGGCGACCGGCGGCGACGACGCCCGGCAGCCCATGATCGCCGAGCCCTGAACCGCAAGTGGCGCCACCACGCTTCGCTTCGCAGAGCTTTTGGCAGCGGCGATCTGATCTCGGACGTTGCTGGCGTGAGGTCGCCCGGCCGTGCATGGAAGCGGAGTGAGAGCGGAGGTGGCGCGGGCGGCAATCTTCGGGACAGGAGGCTTCACACGTGCCGAAATTGTGCGCGCACTGTTACTGTTTTGTTCGATGCGCTTTACAAGCAGGTTTGGTTAAAGCGAAGAGGTGCATGAATCGCATCACCGCGGCCGCACCCGATAGCCAAGCATTGGTTTTGCGGCAAGGATTTGGTGTGGCGTGTGACGGATGACACTGGTAGGTTGAGTCACGTCACGTAGTGGTCGTGTCACGCTCCGTTTCCTTTTGTTTGCCTGGTTTGCAAGCCAAGTGCACTGGGATGGAGTTTGGCTAGTGCTTTCGCTTTCATAATGCGGGCGGCTATTAGGGGATGTGATCTATGTTGGTGTGAGGTGACTGTCTTGTAGTGTCACGAGTCGGCGGCCCCGCTTGTCCACCTCTGTCATCTCTCCATGATCTGTTCGGTTTGGGCGCACAGGCCAATTTTGGTTGTCCGTATGTGTAGTGGCGCAAGCGACAGCATCGGCATAATACTCCCGGGTCTTTCGCGACCGGAGAGCCCAGCTCTGGCCCGCGCCGCGTGCGCTGTGAGTTCTGCTCGAGACGCGAACAGCTGGCGGCTGATGGCTGCCTCTGGCCGCTCGCGCCGCGCTCACCACCGACCGGTCGGCTCGCTTTCTCCGCACTTCCACACTGGCGTCGGGTGCTCGCTGACCTCTCGTTTGTCACGCACGTGCTTTCATTTGGGGCTTCAGACTGGATGTTTGGGTAGGAGGCTTGCACAGTAGACGTAGCTGCTGTGTCGGGTGCCGGCGGTTCGCGTCGCTTCGACATTGTACCTGGATGTACCTGCTGAACCAAACCATGGGCGGTAGTGGCTCACCGCTTTTGCTAATATTTTTTACCGAAGTGTGTGTGTGTGTTAATCCGTTTTCTATGCTTTGACTTGCTTTTGCGACGTGCCTTCTGTATTTTTACCATATTTGGCGTTGGTGAACGGAATGTTTTGTGTTTATTAACACCAAAAATACATCGCAAGAATCTCCACCTTCCTTTATCTGATCGCGCCTGCCGTGAAACGATGCGTGGGCTGTAAGCGGACAGGCTGTCGGACCACTAAGCAACAGCGGGGTTCGAATCTCACGACTGCGGGTAATCGTCGGGCCAGTGACAAACACACGGCTTAACAGCCGATACCAACTGTCCCTGGAAGCAGCCCTCCTCAAGGCAACGGAACTCAGCTGAGCTTAATGCTATCAGGCTTACAGAGTATGTTCCACTTTTGAAGATATTGGACCAAGCATCAAGTTTTATGGAATAAGATCACGCATAACTATTGATGTAGTGAGTGGAAAAACTACTCCAACCAGTATAAATCCCCTGTTCATTAGATATGTTCCTCAATACGTTATTGATTACGTCATTGTACCTTGCACAACACTGATTGAAAGCCAGCTGACGGCCGTTATGTCTGGACATTGCGCTCACGAACGCCGTGCAGGGAAAACTCGATCATATTTTTATTGTGCTTGCTCACCACATGGCGAGTAGAATCGCAGGATATGAATAACACTATTATGTCGTCATGGATGCTTGGGTGGCCACGAAATAATCTGCACGAGATAGTATGCATATTTTCGGGCACGTAGCTCAGAAACTAGGGAGGTCTACCTTGTTGACACCATGCGAACACTGAACGAAATCCAATGAAAGGTTGAATTTTGGCTGCGGGTTCGATTGCTCCCTTATAGTGCCACATCTGCAGGTTCAGTGACATGAGTGCTACAACAAAAACTCGCACCGATGTGAGTGCTATGGCATTACTCCTACCGTCAACACTTATGCACAATGTATGCTACGCAATAAAACTTGTGCTTCAAAATGTTATGTTCGTCGTTATTTTTACTGCAAAAACAAATCGGCATTACTTATACACAGTTTAACTTCTACTTCAAAGAGTTGGAACTTGAGAGACAGTGAGATAAGTTAGATAAGGTAGATAAGCATTTTGTACAAGTGAAGTCTGCACCAGTTTTTGCAGCATAAGTAATGTCGCGTGTAATCGATGTAACGCTCTGGTCGGTAGCAGGTTTCCCGTAGCACCAAAGTTGTGACGCCGGTTCGCTATGGCATCAGCCAGCCGCCGCCGGGCGGGTTCATTGAGCCTCGTCTCTGTTCAGGTCCAGGCATCTGGCAAACAGATCGCTCGCCATAGGCCACCTGTTCCGTCGGAACCCAAAACTTTGCACACCATGCGTCATGTGATTCGATACTTCCTTTAAAAAGTCATCCTTGCGCCTCACCAGCCGTGTCCTGCATCACATAGCCCCGGAATCGCGAGGCGATCCCACACTGTGACACGTTTAGCAGCCCATCGTACGACGTCGTACTCGCTTCTCATTGGTTCATAATCACATGGCTTCCGTGGCACGTGATCATGGCTCGTTTCCGATTGGAGCTAGTATATAAGCCGAACCTTTTGCTGCTCTGTTTGTAATATGCTCATAGACTCGAAGGCGCGGGGGGATGGATGGAGAATGCTGTTGGAGTTACGGGCAAGTAGAAGGACTGAATATTTATTTTTGCTTCTATCACGAGGACTGGCACGAGCGAGGTGGTCACTGGTCTTAACATCACGCCAGGAATTTAGATCCGCCACAAATCGGTGCACAGTGACCCGGACTTGCAAATATCCAGTTCGCAAGCCGCCAGTCTGCAAGCTTTGTTCGTAGATCATCGGGACCGTGTGTCAACCCGTGCGCCACCTATCCTTGAACGCTTGAACCAGCATCTGAGGGTATGACAGTGCGATATTTGTATCCTTGTGTGTTGCTGCTTACCGACAAACGTCACCACACCTACAAATACATGAGGGACGGCTTATTGCACAAGCCATGCAAGTAATCGCACAAAGAGTAGAGGCTTGCACAAACCACGCAGGAAATCATACACCAGATTAGGGTTTGGGGACTTACACAACACGTTAGAACATTCGCTGGAGGAAATTCGTCACATCTTCATGATTGGGTAAGGGATATGGACAACACCTTCTGCACAACTGACGATCAACGCTTTGGCTTCGGCAACCCACACTGAGTGGACCTGCAGGAAAATTTGCCCGTAGACTAATAAATGAAATTTTCCGAATAGTCTAGAACGATCTCCGAAGGTGCCTTTACGAGCGATAGTGAGCTACAGGATCCTTATCGCGCTCAAATGAAGTTGCATTAAGTCCAGCATAAAACAACATTCTGGAAATCTCGTGCCAAATTTTCGGAGAGACTTCAGGCGATAGCGTTCCAGGCTTTTGATGATATGTCTAGTGCCGAAGTTCGTTTCCTTGTGGAAGTATTCCAAAAAAGAGTGTTCAACGATATAGTAGCTGGTGGTAATATCCGTTAACAATTGTACACGCTTCAGGAAATCGCAAATTTTCCAGGTGCGGAACAAACAGACCGTACTTTTGAAATGTGTAGAGCAACCCTAGGTTCAATGGAAGAACCAGGGGACATCGCTGTAGCCCGTAACGTAATTGGTTCTGAAAAGTTTAAGCTTTGGTGCGGCGACACATGGTCATCACACATTGCCATCGTACCTTGTACAACACTGATTGAGAGCCAGTCGGCGGCCGTTTTATCTGGAAATCGTGCTCACAAATGCCAGATATGAACAAGCTCGACAGTTTTCGTTGTTTGGCCTTGGTCAGCGCATGGCCAACAGAATGACAGGGGCTGAATGACCTTATTGTGGCGTCATGAGGCCTGGGTGACCTTTTCGGATTTTTCGGACACCCGACTTTTTCGGGGAGACCGTTTTGTCCGCACAACTTCGCGGGTGTGTAGCTCAGAAACTAGAACGGATTCGGTTTTGAAAAGGGCAATGATGTGTACTGCACCGAATGATCTTCAAGAGGAATATTTCAGTTCAAAACCCCATACAAATGTAGAACACACCCTTTAAAGACTTCTCCGCGAAAACAGCGCAGGACCACACAGAGGCATGCGAGGCTCTCAAACAGCTGAGAGACAGTCTCGCGGACCTCTTCCCTGGCTTGGAGGAGGCACCACAGGCTGCCTCCGCGCCAAACCCGGACCCAGCCTGTTGGTTTTATGGATAGCCCAATCTACCGCCAGCGCCATGGATGTGGGTCCCGCTGGTCCCATAGAGGGGCCTTACAACTCAGGCCACTTCATCTGCCGCTGCCTCATGGGGCCGACAAAGCAATGCTAGTCAAAATACGAAAGGAAAGAAGCGCTAATTCCGGCCTTCGCACCGCCCACTGCGGAAAAATATACACAGCGGCGCCGTGTGCCAAAGGGCTTTTATAGGGTCTCTAAATGATAAAACATACACTGTAGGTAGAAATACAGTTGTAATAGACGATTGATGTACCACTATGTTAAGTGATGTAATATAAACATGTTTTAATGTTGCACCAGCGTACTTTGTCTGAATCACGTGTGATCACCCGAATGTTCCATTAATTTTTCGCATTCCCACCTTGACCAGTGAGAACCTCCGCTTTTAACCTATATTCGACATTTCATCGAAAGGACGTCACGCTGTGAAGCAACAAAGTCAACTTCTTGTCATCAAACAGTTCACATTGTGGCCCTTCGCTAGCCGCCTTCCATTAGCTACGTATTACTGCCGCGCTGTATCCGCTGGACACAGCCGCCGAGCGACTCACCCTCGCTCGGGCGGTGCGCTGTTACACAGCCAGCCGCCGAGCGACTCACCCTCGCTCGGGTGGTGCGCTATTACATCAGCCAGCCGCCGAGCGACTCACCCCGCCCGGGTGGTGCGCTATTACATCAACCAGCCGCCGAGCGACTCACTCTCGCTCGGGTGGTGCGCTGTTACATCAGCCAGCCTTCGAGCGACTCACCCTCGCTCGGGTGGTGCGCTCTTACATCAGCCAGCCGCCGACGGGCGAGTTATTGTAATCGTCTCCTTTCAGACTAGGGCATCTGGCAAACAGATCGCTCGCCACAGGCCGCCTGTTGCGTCGGAACCTAATACTTTGCATGCCATGAGTAATGTGATTCGATACTTTCTTTAAAGTTATTCTCAGCGCCTCACCAGCCGTGTGCTGCATCATATAGCCCTGGAATCGCGAGGCGATCCCACACTTTGTGATAGGTTTAGCTATATCGTGTGGTGTCGTGCTCGCCTCTCATTGGTTAACAATCACATGACTTCCGTGGTAGGTGATTATGACTCATCACCGATTGGAGCTTGTGTATGAGGCGAACCGTTTATTACCATGTATGCTCGTATGCTCATGCGCCCAAGACGTAAGGCTGCTGTTGGTTGCGTACGTGGACGTTGTGGCGTGGAGTGAGTGTTGGGGAGAGTAAGTGGGTGGCGACTAGAAGCGTTGTCACTAGCGAACTATCACACAGTTACAAATCTGCTGCAACATTATAAGGCAAACATTTCTTACAATGTCAATGCAGGACGCCCCAAGCTATGCTTACGATCAAATCGTGGAAGAGGGATCGTGGGTTAAGCAAAAATTGCGCTTGACCAGGACAAGTGGGTCCAAAAATGACTGCAATATGTGACACTACTATTACAAACATGCAAGGAATACATCATCCGAGTCCCCGCATGCGAACACCCGACCACTCCCACAAGCTGTCACCAGTGTTCTCATCACGCACGCTGCCATAAACCGTCGACCACCCTCATATATCCAGATTACTTATGCAAGCATCGTCGTTTCACGTTTCTCCAAGTTTGCTGGGGGCTGTTTCTCGAAGTCCACGACCCCATAATGCCGGGAAACCATGGGTCCAAAGCTGTTGCTGCTTACATAAAAAATAAAGACTGCCAGAGGCCACAACGCCTTCGTGTGGTGCATACGAGTTACATTCCAGGTTTGGTAAATATACGTAATGCAAATGTTGGCCATCCCTTCCAGGGCAAGTTACCCAGTGCCCAAACCTGACAACTTAAAAAGCGTAATAGTCAGAAATGACGCAATGGTGTACAGTGCGCGAGACTAATCAGATAACTTGCACGTTTTTATCCCGGTCACAGAGCGAACCTTAGCTAAAACTGTTCTCCCGCAATTCAAAACCCTGCGATGCATGGCGACCACATCGCCGGGTTTTGGGCACCGGGAATTCAAATTCACCTGGAGGACAAACTGGATGGGGCAAACCCAATGCGGATCGAACCAGCCCCCGAAGAACCGTGTCCTTGGGACCCTGCGAGCCGTCCTAGCGCGGCACCCTCAGTGCCGGTAAATGGTCGGACACGAGACACGGGTACGATTTACTTAACTTTTATTACAAAACGTCCTACAATGAGAAGATCTTGTGACACAGACTGACACCAACGAACTCAGAAACAAGTAGTGCAGGTAATGCAGATTAACATAGTAAGTGTTAGCATCACCCGGCAAGTATAACACATGCGAACCTCTTCATCACATGTATTGCCAACACATGTTAAAAACTGCTGCGATGCTGATTTGCGTCTGATAAAAAGGTGCTGGCGGTGGGGACGGCCGGCCGGCCCTGGCCAACCGTGCACGCTGGCTGCACGGACCCTCGCAGCGTGGCGCCGCAGGTCCCTCCAGTCGGTCCGTTACCCTACACGATCGAATGCACTGGCCGCCGCCAGTGCCAGTCCGCGCGCGCGCGCCGGCTGCGTCCGGCCTCACCACTCACGGCACTTCTCGCACTGCACTCTGGTAACGTGTAATTTGTTTACAATGTATATATGTCCGCCGCCGGCGGCGGCAGGGCGGCCGCGCCGGGCTGGACGCGTCCCTCCATCGGGGACTGCCGCACAGTATCTGCTAGGATTTATCACCAGAACGAGCGCTTGTCTTGGCTGCATGACGGCGTTGCCGGGCCGGCTCAACGGCCACCTGCAGGCGCGGAAGGTAGCGTCAGACCATACGCGGACGACCACTGCGCTGCGATCGCGGCCAGGTACGTATACCTAACACCCACGCGCACACACACACACACACCACACACACACACACACACACGCACACACACACGCACGCACGCACGCACGCACGCACGCACGCACGCACGCACGCACGCACACACACACACACACACACACACACACACACACCACACACACACCACACCACCACGCACCACCACGCACGCACGCACGCACGCACGCACGCACGCACGCACCACGCACGCACGCACGCACGCACTCACGCACGCACGCACCGCACGCACCACGCACGCACGCACGCACGCACGCACGCAGCCACAACCTTCCGGCTTTCACTGCTATCGATCAAACGATGTCCCAATTCGAGCATCAAGAACAGAGTCCGGGCGGGGAGCCCGGGCGAAAACGGCATCTGGAGCACGTCCACACAAGCCGTGCGTGTGAGTGACGGTGTGAGCGGGCTTGGTCAGTTCGACGACAGGCAGACAGATGAACAGCCGCCGGAACGAGTGGGCCAACATGCAATCCCGTGCAAAGATCGGACCGAAGGACGCCGTGCCGAGGGAAAAGAGCTCCAACACAAGTCAGAGTACCGGCTGCCAATGCTATTTGCAACACATGGTGATCCAACATCTGATATCGACGACTAAATATCAAGCGTGGACAGTTGTAAACATTAGGATTACTAAAGCCTCGACTCCAACACGAAGAGAAAACAGCTGGGGCGGAGAACGAACCGTCCTCTCGTGTGGAGCCCACACAGAATGCGGTTACACCCATGCGGACCGACCGTCCCAGCCGTGTTAAGTTGCCAGTGACCAAATGTCGCGTCAGGAGAGCACACTGCCAGCCGACCGGCCGGTGCCGGGTAGCGCGTGCAGGGGGCGGGGAGAACCGTTAACGACGCCTCTAGACGGAAATGCCACACGGAGCAGCATGGAATGCCATCCACCACGAGCGAGGAACAAAGAAAACAAAAACCTGCTTACAGGTCGCTTGCCTACACTGGCTAGACTTGCTCAGTTGACTCCTGAAACGGAAAGAACCGCCATTGTAGCAAGTGGCCTGCACACATACGGCATGAGTCTGATCCCGCCAGCGCGCGGCACCCCCAGCTGCACGCGGCACCAGAAGGCGCATTCTGCTGGTGCTCAAGTGCCGGCAGCAGTCCCCCATCCCCACCTAGGGATGGAGGGGGGGGGGGGGACAGAGCACGCCCCGCACACCGCCCAGCGCAACCACCCCCACCTCGTCGCTCACATGCCTGCCCGAGCGCCACCCCGCAGCCTGCTCTCGCCCCACGGGCGACAGCGTCCACGCGCTCGCAGCCATTCCCGGAGCTGAACGCAGCGGGCCGGCAGTGCGCCAACCGGTTCGTTCCGCTCCTCAAGCAGCGTGCCCCCTCCCCTTTGGCGGGCGAGGCCGTGACCCCTCGGGCCCTGCGCCCCGCCACCGGCACCTGTTGCCAGCCTCTCACCTGGCTGGACGGCGGTGGTCGGGTTGGGGCTGGCCGGTGGCGTGGGCGGCAATGCCGTTCTGCTTCAGGATGGTCCAGTCGAAGGTGTAGTCGTACTGGTGGTTTAGCGTGCGGAACAAGATGCGGAACAGCTGGCGCAGGTACATATAGTCGGGGCGCCTCCTCGAAGCGCAGGCCGCGGCAGTAGTTTGAGATACATGGCGAACTCGCCCGGACAGCCCTTGCACAGCACCTCGAGTGGGGTCGACATCTTCTTCTCGCTGATGCGCTCGTACTTCTGCTTCTTGTTGACCGCCTGGCGGACACGACCGGCACGTGAGCGGGGCAGAGGCTCGGCTGATTGGCCGCTCCCGATGGGCGCGAGCGTCGATGGGTCGCAACGAAACGACGCCACGGCTCTGGACACCAACGCCGAACGCTACAGACACTCACGGAGACGGCGAAGGCTCAAGAGACTGGCGCACATCACAGCACAAAGACAGCCATCGAAAGCATTGGCAAATCCCTGACGGCGAGATCTCACCTTCAGCCCCTGCCAGGGCAGACTGCCTTTCCGGAAGTACACCAGCACATATCCCAAGGACTCCATGTCATCCCTCCGGCTGGAAATGGGAGCTTTATCACTGGTGTGATTAACAACAAAGAACTTGTGGCAGATATGTGGGCTTTCAACCCCCAAAAAACCTCCCTGTGGACAAACACAGCTTATGGGTGGACAGCTTAGCTCCCCTATGCACTTTCTTTTTAAGGCTTTGTGAAAAGAAGACAAGCATTGTTTATGAAGAAAGCAAAAGGGCTGAACGCAACTGAAATTACATGCGACACTTGTCAAAACGTTGCAGTATGGAAAATGAAAACTCAGTCACCCTGGGTAAAGGGTGCAGGTAGTGTTTGAAGCTTGGGTGCTTCTTGGTGTTTTTAACCCGAACACATTCTGTTCTCCACAAATATGCACCGGAAAGAATATAATAAGTTGTTCTATGCTAGCGACGTCAGATGAAGGTGAGCTATTCCTGAAGTTTCGACAGCAATCGCGTGCAGCATCCACACGACTAAACGATGGATACTGCTTCCGGGTCTCTGCCGAATCTTTATATCACACCACAACGCCATCTTTTCATTCCATGCATTCAGTGCCCTGGTTCGTTGCTGCTCACCAGCACACGTTTAACCTACCTACCGTCCATCAAACGACGCCCCCCCCCCCCCACGCTCAAAAATGCGACTCCGAGCCCGCACTCAAGACGACAACCCCGTCTCTTAACGAGCCAGGGAGAAGCGAGAACAGAGAACATCTCGTGGACGTCCCGATTCAACGTTTCTGGATTGCACGTGGAAATCATTGGAACATAACGAAAATTGATACCAAAATGCATTATGTCACACTAACATATACCCATTCATATAGCATGAACTCATTACTAAATTCGCATTTGAATCTATTAAAAATGCAGGCTGTATAGGATGTACAATAGGGACGTTAAACACCATCCCAAAGCCCCCCCCCCCCCCCTTGGGCACGCGGAAATTCACGGCTCCGCGAGCCCCCGGCTCTTAGGAAAGATTTAGCATTAAAGAGAAGCCACATTCTCCGCCAAGAAGTCCAAGCTGAATACATGGTGAAAACGCACCAAAGGGGCATTAAATCAAAAGATGAATTTGGTATCAGTCTAGACAACGCCGCCAGAAAATTACGATCTGAGTATAAAGTAAAGCAGTCTCTTGCCGTTGAGCAAAACGCTTGGTGTTACTGCGTGCGCCCCATTTGTTTACCTTCCGACATTTTGTTTGTGCGAGCCGCGTACCGGAGCCGTGCTGGGCACTGATGGCGGGACTGTTTGACAGCATGGGTAAAGACACTATATAAGTTCAGCTCGCTGTCATACGCTGATAAAAACATTGCATCACACTTATCGTTGGTGAGTAGAAGTTGCGGTGCTAACTATGTATGGCTGGCTTGCTCTGTGAGGAGAAAAAATTTCCTCCGCCCTGCTGCGTTGACATCCGAGCCCCGATCACGCAGCAGTCTGACGTCCCAGACGGTGCAGTTTTTGTACTTAACTTTGTGGTGTGAGTGAGCAGATAACTCTTAATGCCCAAATAAATAGTGCAAATTTCAATAAAAGGCTGTTATAATATGCTTTGGGGAATTATTCAGAAGGTGCACAGTATTTTGAGAATTGGTTTCTTTCAGCCTTGTTGAGACTCCGCCTTTGCAATAGACTTACCAATATCAACTTTCTGTGCTCACACCTTAAAAACATATTGCGGATGAGAGCATAGACTTAGGAGCATAGCTAGGAGCACTTACTTTGGAAACTAGAACATTTAACAATTGCTAGCAGCTGATTTCCGACTGATTTATTTTTATTGATTCTTTACTGGTCTTTAGCAATCACTGATACCAGCTGGAGCATGGTGTCTATTGTGATCTGCTGACAAAGAATGTCATTCAGTACCAGTTGTGAATACAGCACAAACTCACCTAGGCTATTTTGTCCTCACTCACAAGCCATGATTTTAGCATTTTTGTTCTCTCCCCCCCCCCCCCCCCCCCCCCCCCCAACAGTCAACACCAAATTCGAGATACTGGGTGCAGGGCACATCACCTGCATATTCTACCCACCCAGCGCCAGCTCACCACAACGAATGAAACTTCTGATGACTGGACCCCGACACCGCAGCTCTGCACCACCAATAATCCGGAGCTGCACGCGGCTCGCGCTGGCGGCGCACTCAAGCGCCACAGGCGGGCTCACCTCTGCTCGATGCCCAGGTGGGCGTTGATGCTGGCGTACCGGGCCGTGCCCGTCAGGTTCTTGTCCTCTCTGTACGGGATGTGCACGCGCGTGCGACTATCTCGAAACTTTTTGGCCAGTCCGAAGTCTATGACAAAAAGCTGCAAAGCGTGGTGCCAGTGTCACAAATGGCCCACCCGCCCCACAACGACGCCATCAGTTACATGACGTTGCGATTGATCTCTGATTGGCCATGGAGAATTGGAAGAGCTGGTTCCATTGGTCTTCTTGCCAGTTCAAACACATCACAAATTTCAAACGCTCTCAGCCCCCCCCCCCCCCCCGCCAATGAACGCTTCGGGGTGAGTTGCGTTCGGGAGATGCTGTCTTAACCAACGCATGAACCAAGCTTACAGCTTAAAGCACTGCAATTTCAAAACACAAGTAATTCAACTGTGGAAAAGTGCAAAAGGCTGACAAGAGGCTTTGGCTTGCTGCAGTGTATGCTATGAATTCACATGTGTGTGGTGACCCAGTTTATTGATGGTGAACAGTCATCACAGTAACTCAGTTCACGCTTATTGTGAACTGAATACTCTAATCCATAGTAATTATCAGTCCCATGCTGTGCCTTTGTGTACACCAAGAAGGTATTTAATCATAAGAATTACAAAGCACATCTGACAACCTGTCTTTTGGCATCTGTTCTGTTGGATTCCAAAAGATAATAGAGGCAAGCAGGTCTGTTACTAGACATCATGAACCCTCAGATGCAACAACTGACCTTGTTGCAGTGGCGGCCAATTCCCATGAGGAAGTTGTCTGGCTTGATGTCCCGATGGATGAAGTTTTTGCTATGAATGTACTCCACCCGTCCAACCATCTGGTCTGCCAACATCAGCACCGTCTTCACCGTGAACTGGCGTGAGCAGAAATTGAAGAGATCCTCAAGAGATGGCCCCAGCAGGTCCATCACCAGCACCCAGTACTCGCCTTCCCTGCCGAACCATCTGTGAAACCAGGCAGACATGGTCCATATAGTGACAGGCACGGGTGTACTCACTTAGGGTCAGGGTGGGCGTGGGGGACATGCCCTCTACAATTTTCAGAATGTGGGTTTGCATTACCCAATTTGCTGTCCATAAAATGCAAACCTTTATGTTTCTGATAACAAAGTCACTTCCAGGTCAGGTTCTCCCCTACAGATTCCAGTTTGACCCCCACACCCATGGTTTCCCCATTGAATCCCTGTCATGGCCACCCCTGGTGGCGGATTGGAAGAAAATTGCCACCACATGATGCTTAGCATTATCACAATTATCACAACATCATAACATACTGCCCATCTTGCTGAGCATCACTGTGTCCTGCTTGAATGCTGTGCTGGTCCTGCTTGAGTGTCTGAACCCCTCTTCATGCCACAAAGCCAAAATAAATAACATCAACCTAGAATGTTGAAGCAGTGGCACTTTGAAAAGCAATGCATGTTTGAATCAGAGGACAACTTTCACCTGCATATAGCATGGTGTGCAATTACGCTTTCCTATACAAACAGCTGACTAATATGCAAGTCAATTCCTGAAACTTACCTGAAATGTGGGATGCCAATGCCACCTTGCAAGATTTTATACAGCTTGCTTTCATACAGCAGCTGTGGATGCCGTGCATTGATTGGCTCTAGCTTCAGAGCGACTTCCTGGGAACAGAACAGTACAGCATTAGTTCATAGTACAAACTACCCACCATGTTCAGATGAAATAAGCCTGAGGACACCAGCAGCAAAGCAATATAAGAACATGCCTAGGCAACTGGCCTGACATGTTCAGAAACAGCAAAATTAATATGCCCTTTTTATTGAGGCCTGTGCATTATGTTTGCTCTTTCTCCATTAGGCACCATGCACCGCACAAATGTAAAGACAGGATGAAAGTACAAACAAAGTGAAAAACAGCACAACAAATTCTAGCATCTAACCATTGAGTTATGGCCTGCAGCCAGTGGCAGCAGCTGCAATAAAGGTCAAAGGACATCACAGGATAGGACAGACTGTGCTGAGCATTGCAGCACATTGACCTTTTGCCATGAAATTCTGCTAACATGGCATTGCATGATCAGATGGTAGGTGTCAGGGCTCACACAATAATCACTGCTTAGTGTGAGCCCTGATTACAAAAAAAAAAACATCCAATGGTTCAGATAAAAAACTAAAAATAAATGGAACATTTGCTTCCATTATTACCCTCAGGAATGGTGTACTTCATCATGACCATGCAACACAAAGCATTTAATGCTTCCTGATGGAACAATCAACTTAAGGTAATTCATCATGTATTATCAATTACTGATCAATTCTCAACAATCAAAACTCATCATTAACTGACATAAATTGCTCTACAGCATGGCTTTCACCCTTGGGTACAGAAAATGGCAATGGGTACTGACAGCATTTAAAAAGAGATGCAAGACTGTAGCAAGACTAGTGCAAGACAACAAAATGCTTATGGAACCCTTTTTTGATGTGCTATTGATGCAACAGATTACTGATGATATACCAATAACAGGAGTGAAATAGGTCAACACATTTCTCAACAAAATACCAGGCCCCATAAATGAGGCATACACATGTAACTAGACCTTGTGAATGGGGAGCACCTAAATATGATAAGATCCATTAAGTATTAATGTTAATGATGCACCAGTTCAGTAAACTATCAAAACACTGCCAAATTAATCACTATGGTATTGTGTCCACTACCATTTTGCATCACCCTTCTACATCCAGAATTTCTATGTCCGCACCACAGTGCTAAAAGGAGACTAACCAGCAGACTGAGTCAGGTGTGTAACTGCTTAGGTGGATAGGGGAATGGGGTTGGCATTATGTAGCCCTGAGGATTGCATGACTGGCCAGCTGTCTTACATATCCCAGGGATAAAGAAGCATTAATTGGGGCTGTGGGGCACTTTGGCTGTACTTTCATATAGCACCCATAAACCAGGGGTGAGAAAACAGTACAATCAAAATGATTGAATAACTGTTTATGAACCACTAACAATGACAGGAGCACAAGAAACAACACTTGCTCTGTTGGTCCTCAAGATAAACTCAAGCTGTGCACATTACTAAGAATATGCCACCAATGCTCTCCACTTTTAACATTAGACAACAGAATGGCATGACTTCATCAACCACAGGTATATTGACACTGCTGAATAACACACAGTGGCATAATGCTGAAATACTACAACCAACACATGACAGATGAATGGTGTTTTTCAAATGGGTCTTATCAGTGTGGTCCCATTTCACCATGCATGGACTATCACTTCATCCATGCACACTTCAACATCTGGTTGCCTGTCAATATACAGACTGGATGGTGAACAAGATCTGGGCCTACATGACCTGGTACAATCAGCTGACATGAAAAAGTTACAAAATGCAACTATAAAGGTTAAGGAATGAATAAGATTTTTAATCAATTTTGATGATATATGAAGTGACCAAGCATCAGGGGGTGCCCAGAAAGCAGCAACAAACACCAAGAATACAGCAATGTCAGTGCTAACAAAATATGTGGGTTGATTTGTGACTAGCCCCAAATCTGTGAGATCCCAAAAGTGCATTCTACACCAGTGTTGGTAAATGTGATGTTTCCTGGTATAATGTATACCAAGACATTTTGTACTTCAGGATTGTGACTAGCTAAAATGAAATACTTTGTACTCCACCATGATAAAGCAAGAACAGCTTTTGGAAAAAAACTCACTTTACCTCTTTGTGTCAGGACAAAATAAAACCAGAAGGTGCAACATGTTGATGCTGCTTCCATCAGGAGCCATGTTTTGATGTCTGCTAGAGCACAAATATTGCGCCCACCAGACTAAGATGCTCAATGGCATGCATCCTGAGTTGCAACCCAGGTACATGATAAACCACATGTGGAAATATGAAAAATAAAGCATGTGAATGTTGAATGGAATTGCCTTTGAACAACACCGGGAAATGAGAAACAAGTACCAGAATCACACCGGTCTGTTAACTGGCAAAGCTCTCACTTCCTATGCCCTTCACAGACCAACTCAAACTTGAACATGGAAAATTCACAGACAACCACACCCCCAATCACCAGCTGCCTTCCCATGCACCACCACTGTGTCATGGCATTGCAAATAGAGAATCACTCGTGATTCAGCAAATTCAGCCTCTGAAATGTCTTAACTATTCAGGGGCTCCTGCCTCCCAGCTCAGGTTGGAGGTTGACAGAGCAAAACTCTCCAATTGGTTTTAATGACTCACCTCCCCATGACTGATTTGTCAAGAGCATAAATATTCTGCTCACTTTCATGTCTTGAACAGATTTGTAAACATTTGGAGGGAAACTGTACCGAGATGGACATCACAACTGCATGATGGACTTGCAAGGCAAACAAGGACTTATCTGTACTCATCCAGAACCCCCATGTGTTTGAATTTTTGGCCACTTCCTGGTTTTCGCTTTAGTGTGCAAATCAAAGCTGGTAATTCAGGCTTTACAAAAATACCCTTTAAGTCAAAGAACATTCCTATAAATAGCCAAAAACTGTTCGGAGACAGCTGTCTCACTCTTGCAAAAACATCTGGACACCAGAGTAACATGTACCTGAAACTTTGGCTCCGCAAATTAAGGAGGGGTTTATTAGGACAAAAAACATCAATTAATTGCAACACAAATTATCATATTTTGAAATGGTATAGGTAAAAGCACACCAAAATCCATAAATACCTTGCATTGTCCACTGGAGTCAACAGAATGACTGATTCCAATCCCTTTTGCCAGGCCTACACAGGTCTCTCAGGCATTGTACTTGCGCTGGCTGGTTAATCGGTTAACAGTGCTGTCTGCCTCTATTGTTCAGGTGGGATGTGGAGGGCCTCCTGTGTTGACCAGGAATTGGAAGGTGGAGGGCATGAATGTTAGGCCATTTTTTAAAACAGTTAGCTGGCGAAGAATGAGTAGCGTGATCATGGTGGAGCGCGAGTAGCGTGATTGTGGTGGAGCACGAGTAGGTGGCTGTCTGTGGCGTGTTCATTAGCATTTTTGTGTATCATTTTAGTCTGGCTGTGCATATCGCACCCACCCTCTGTTTTGGAGGGTGTATAAGCCCAGTGTGTAGCCACCCTCCATTTTGGAGAGTGCATAAGCCCCGACACGTAATTACCCTCCGTTTTGAAGGGTGTATAAGCCCGGTGTGTAGCCACCCTCCATTTTGGAATGTACAGACCCAACCCGTAATTACCCTCCATTTTGAAGGGTGTATACACAGGGCCTTTGATAAATGCAAACCAATGTATGTGCACATGTGTTTCTTGGTACAGAGTATGATACTGTGTTGTTTCAGTGTACCATGTTAAATACTGACATTTCCTTTTATTGGAAGTGCTTTTTAATGAATTACTGTACATGAAAAGTGGTGCCTTTGTTGTGTGCCACTCATTGTACTATAATCTCTCAGATAATCTCATTAAGCTGTAATGGTAGAAGATCTCCTACCAGGACAAATTTTCAACTTTCTAACACTGATGTGCTGCATGTAAAGTTATCCTACTGATGCACCTACTATGCAATATCTTCAAAAATGGAGCATTATAAGAGACCAAGGGCACTGCTTAATCAGACATTACCAGAACAGCAGGTAACTACCCTTGCTAAACTTGATTCTAGGCATCTAGCTTTATCATAAACCACAATAAACATTTAATGGAAGTAAAACAGTTGGTACCAGCAGATGGGTTTACAACCATGGGTTTCAGAACCAAACCACATGCAAACTGTACTGAAGCATTAGGTTCTACCCACCCCAAGATCGTGATGCAATTATGAAATATGCAAAAGCATTTCAAGCACACAACAGTCACACAGCAATATCACTATCCAACAGTAGCATGCCACCTATCCCTGCACACCTACCTCCCCATTTGTGGTGTTGATGCCTGTGTAGATTTCACCGAAGGATCCACTTCCAATTTTACGAATGGCTTTGTATTTGCCGGCAGCAATAAAGTCTTTGTTTCTTAAAGGCATTGACATGGTGGACAAAGACGAAATGCTAGACAATTTTAATGCGTCATGTCCCCGTCGTTCCCCACGAAACAATCGGGGAACGATCCGACGCAAAGCACACCCACCCTCTCACAATGAACGGCAATCGCAACAGGGTGCGGCACCGAATTTCAGCGCTGTTGGGAAACAGTCGACCAGCTGAGCGTTTTGAGATTTTACTGCCATCTATTAACAGGAAATCTAACTAGTGCACGCATTCACTACAAACTTTACCCCATACCATTGAATACCGATCTGGCGCACCGTTTTAGTCGTAGGCAAATTGGGAGTCTGTGATATGCGATAACGATACGTGCGTTGGGGTATGACACCGTATTGAAGCCAAAGGCAGACTTAGAGGTGAACATGCCCCCCCCCACCGGACACCAATTCCGGGAGCACCACAAATGGCCTCTAATCTTCGTTTCCGAGAGGCGCAACATTCCAGGGCGCTACAACGTCCATGCCGCGTGTTTTGACAAGCCTCCGGATCTACCCATCCGACGAAGGGACACCGAAACCTTTGTTTCCGGACATAAAAGCCTATATTTCTAAGACACTTTCAATTCTAGAGGGCACCATACAGGGTCCCAAACAGGGGTGTCGCTTCATGTAATTCGGACGGCCCAAGCTCCCAAATGCTCACTTGAGCCACACACCCGCCCCCACCCCATGAATATGGACCTACAAGGAATACTGAATCATTGGAACAAAAGAAATTTCCCTGGAATGCTCGTATTCTAATTATCTACCTGAAGAAATCACTACCAGCCAGTTTCATCTTAATGTTATACCAGTAGTATCCTCCAGGTACCCTTACCTACCATATGTCATTCCAACTCTTAGATCTGCCAAGCCAGTCTGCAATTATCGGCAGGTTTTTCACGCGATTACGTCATGATTGGAACACCGAAATGCACTTTTATATGCGACATCAGTCCTATATTGTATGGCCTTTCACCATAAAGACAGCTGGTCGCACTTACGTGTTTGCGCGGCTTGCGGGTTATAAACGGAATTTTCACATGCAAACAATTTGTTTGTTTCACCTTTGCTACTTATCCGCAAATTGCATGCGTCGGTTGACAGAGGCGCACACCAGGGGTGAAAAATCTTCTGATTTGTTGGTTATGACAAAAACTAGCATTTTTGCAAACCAATTGGTGACAAAATTGCGAAAATGCAAACAATTTCAATATACCCACACCATATTACAGCTCACCATCCCAGCTAAACGAAACTTAAAGCTTAGGATTGGTTTATGCTCGTCAACACTTGCAGCATGAGCATGTGCAAAACACATGTCAAAAACGCTGACGTTTCGCTTCATGAGCAAATTCAACCAAAAGATGCTTCCAAACATAGTTCCTTTAATCAGGATAGTTTTTAGCAGGCACTAGAAATATACTGTAAACTATACTTTATCAGTACTGACGTCACAGATCAGCGGCGACGCCGTGTTTTTCCAATGCTCCTCAGATTATTGCCTTAGGCAGGTTTTTAAGCTAAGATGCACTTCAAATACTAAACAGTATCAAATACCAAATAACTAGACATATTGCTAGTCATAAAGGTCGTCGCTCGCCGCAGCATCTTGCAACGAGCGTGATCAGTTTCCTGCGTAGCGTTTTAAAGTGTCGCGCCGTTTGAGATAAATGGGCTCGAATGCTCGCCACACGTTGATGCGTTGGGTTCAGTGCAAGGCTGTGGACTGCTATTGATTGTGTTCATGTCGTGAGAAGCTGACTGACTAGGAGAACGTGGCAGCTAAGCGTGAGGTCTTTAATATAGGAGCGTTAAAAAGCCTTGCCGATCTAGGTGTGCTGTTTGTGGATACCTGAGCTGTAGCTCCAGAGGTAAACGGAGGACGTTGGAGCGACACATGCCAAAGATTCATCCGGGGCTCTCTGCTGCTGAGAGTAGCAACGGCTTTGAGGGAGAAACTGAACATCACCGTCGTAGGCCCCTCACACTGCCGTTGCACCTCTGGCATAGCGTACTAATTGTTTGGACAGGCGTGAGATAAAACGCTTTTTATTTTCATCATATTGCATATAAAGCTGAATGAAGGTGGTAGAGGTGTTCAAAAATGTCGGTTGCATCTGTTGATACCAATATTGCATGGGTTTTGCTCTAAATGATTGGGATCATGTTAGGAAGTGTGAGTTCTGCACCAGTAATGATTATGCGAGGTCGCCTGCGCGCTCAGCTGATTGTACGATGACGTCACAAAACCAAAGGTGATATTGTTGTCAGGTGTTTGTAGAACCATGTTGTCGGTAAATATAGGGCCACAAGGATCCAGTCTTGCAAAAAACGTAGGGTTGAGGGATGGAGGGGGAGGGGGGGCAAGAAAAAATGACAGCCTGCCTCCTAAATGCACTCAAAACAGCTTTCTCCACAGACTTGACACACTTTGTTTCCACAGTTGAGAGCAGAGGTGTGGTTTCTCAAAATTAGTTTTGGGGGCTAAACCCCGAAATTTGTGATTAATGCAAAATGATGAATGAAAACTGATAATTAAGAATAGGAAACAACACCCATGGTTAGGAGGCACAGTCCCCTCCCCTCATCTGACTAGAAAAATACCAGGCCTCTAAGCCGGCTTTGTTGACTATGCCTTTATGTGATAAGTTAATTGGTCAAGCTTCAACCATCACCCAGTGCTTGATGGCCAGGAAATGATACTAAAATGCAAATGAGCTCCCGAAACAAAAATGTTTGATGGTTATGAAGCACTGCGCACATTTGTTTTTGCTTTGTGGCTTATTGCTTTTAAAGTTCTTTTGCAACGGTTTCTGAGGATTCGGCTCCAGCTGAGGGTTAAGACAATTTCATTTTCGTCGGCGGCAGAAAGGGCACTTTTCTCACCCCCGGCACACACAGTATTTTACAATCGGGGAAGAGGAAAGGGTAAATATCACAAACCAAAACCAAGTTAAGCTTGTCGCACGCCGATTGAGAAAAAAAATCGTTAACATCGAGAACACAGCCTTATCCGAAAACGGGAAGAAATTAGGTTTCGGGGTAGGTTAGGTCAACCTTGCCGAGGCCGATTAAGCCACCCCTCCCAACGACTTAAACACAACCCCTGGTCTCAACGACGACACAACGACACCCCTGGTCTCACATCTTCATTCTCAAGAGGCACGAGAGTTCATGGCCACAACAACGTTATGCCTCCTACCCTGACGACATCCTTGAGCGGCCCCTTGGGCGTGGGGACACACGAGCATACATTTCCGGCAACATGACCTGCATTTTCAACAGCTGTCACGCCCAAGCGCGCTACTCAAGGGCCCAAAGCCTTCGTTTTGGAAGTGGATCAAAACGCAGGGCCGCCACAATTTCCTTGCCTTTCAGCTTTGCAATATCTTGGATTGGCGCTCTCGGCGAAGAGGCACCAAATACCTTCCTTTCGGAGCATCAGAAGCTTGAATTGCGAGAAGACCCTATTCCAGGGGGCACTAAAAACGGAAGCAAGACCTTCATTTCAACGATGCCAGGGGCGCCACGAAGCTCCGGGAAGCTCTGCCCAGCTCAGAAGAGCGTAGCCTGAAGGCCAGACCCGAAAGTATCAGTCAAAGCACCTCTCGCACCAATCGGGGCCCCCCCCCCCCCCGAGACAGTGAGGGTCTCTATGTCAACTGGCTGCTTGAGACTACCAATGCCGAACATTGAGTCCATGCCGGTCTGGGCCCTGAGGACCCATTTTCCAGATGGGGCAAAGTCGAGTCTCTAGTCTGAGATTAGACCGGACCTCTTCCTTCACGTATCGAGACTTCAAACTGTTAAGACAAGGAAGTCATTGTGGTTTGTAGTGGTTTATAGCCAGGCGGTATTTTCCTGTTTTGCAGCGGCTCTGTTTATCAATCGTGTAGTCTCAGTTGCAGATCAGAGGGTAATAAGATAGCTGAAATAATGTGCAGGTCAGGGGGTAACAAGAAGCCTAAAACTTTCATAGCACATAGGTACGAGCGTTAGGAGAGCCCACGCGTCCTTACGACACGATACGGGCATGAATGAGCGCCTTGCGTTGGTGGCACTTTCTATTTTTAAGCCCAGAGAGTTACCAATAATCGTGTCCGTGGTGAAACAAGCTAAGCAGCATTCAAGCCGGCGAGAGATTACTTACTCTGTTAAGAGAAAAACGATGAATCTTAGGATGCCGAATTGTAGGAGCCGATTAACGTGAATATGGAGCCAGGACGCTGGCGCGCAGCAATTAAAGGTGAATGCTGACGATCGAGGGGGATGCACGTATAGTTAGCTTATTTAGCGATGCTTGAAGCTATCGGAGCTGTTGCAGCAGTGAACATTCGACTAAAATTCGAATTGCAGATATGACTGGAACTGTGCGGTATCGAAGCATTGCGGCGTGGTGAAATAGTGAGCAATACAGCAGGCTGGCTTGCAGTTTCCGGTATGCAAAAGGAAGGTGCACGAGGTCCGAGTACAGGCCGTTTGAATTTTGCACGCGTTTATTTGCACACCGTATAAAAAATGTCGGGCTTCGTCTTGTCAAAGGGTGCATACCACCTTTTTCCTAATTTCCACTAATCGATGAATACGAGGCGCCAGTTTTCTCGAAATCATTCTCTTAAAAAAGCTTAGAACTTCAATCTGAAACAGCCGCTTTTGACAGAGAGGTTTCAATGGGCCCCCTTGTCACCACCATGAAGGTAATACGTTAATTGTGATTTGCTCTTTCCAACGCTTGTGTTCTGTAATGCTTACAATACCCTAATTGGTAGAAATGCTTGTGTTATGTACCACGAAACCAAGAAATTAGCGCTCTTTCAAAGCGTTGATAGCGTGATTAGGACTTGAAAATAATAAGAATGTGCGCGCTTATTACATCTTGATGGTGCTACAGGGACGCTACCTAGGGGTTTTATCAGAGATAGCTGGTCTGAAGGTTTCACCATATTATAGCGTTAAAATGTATGCCAAAGATGGGATACTCCCTTTAACTACGCATTCCTAATTATAGTGCCATCAGTCGGCACTGTTTGCCGGCAAAGTGCTCAAAAATGGTTTTTAACCATTCAGAAGTCACAAAATCAATTTAAACAAGCTCA